TTGGATTGGATACCACTGGAAAACAAGTCACAATTTTATTTATCACCCTTAGATCTTCGACAAGTTGTCATCCACATCCATTTGGCTTTTTAGTTAGGAGGATGGGAGTGTTACAAGGGCTGATGCAAGGGAAAAATAACCCTCGTGAAATTAAAGATTCAACAATGGAGGTGAGTCTTTGTATGGCCTCTAGTTTTAACGGTTATTGAGGCAATTTAGGCAAAGGTTTGGTAAAACCTATCTCGATTTTTATGGGTTCAGCACTCTTGATTTTTCCAGTGTCTGTTGATGAAGTTGCCCAGAGAGTCTGGAGAACTTCAGATAACTTTGGAGTCTCATAGGGTGACTAATCTTCAGTATTATCTGTAGCAAATTGTAGGGCACGTAAGAATTCCAATTCAGGTTGGTCAGAAAATTCAAGGGCAATTTCTCCATCTTTATGTACCCATGTAATTTAGATAAAAGATCTCAGCTGATTAAATTCGCAGGGGTTGAATCACAAAGTAGAAAGGTATGATTGTCAGAGATTGGTCCTAGGGTCATCTGAACCAGTTTTGATAGATATTCTTGTTGTGTCTTATTTGAAACCCCCACTGTTTTATATTGTTTTTTGCCCCAAGGGATAGGTTGCTTTAAAAGGTGGGATTTAACATAGATAAGGTTGTTCCTGTGTCTACTAAAGCTGTACATGTTTCTCCATTTATTTTGATTTGATGAATTTCACCACGTTCATTTAGAGGGATTCAGGAAGTAGCTTTTGTATATTTCTCTCAAAGCCCTGTCACTGAGGAGTTTTTAGAAATATGGAGGATGAGTTTCAGCATTTGTTTGTTTTCTTTGGGGACAATTTCTTTTCCAGTGTCCCATCTGTTTACAGATATTATGTGGGCCTGGGTGCCAGGATTGTTTAGGTCGGGCCCCTTGAGGTTTAAAATGATAAGATGGCTTGTTTGTTGGCTGAGGCCCTTGTAATTGTTGGGGCTGGAGGGTCATGGTTTGGTGGCTTTGCTTTTCTTTCCTAGTTCTAAAGTACGGTCAAAATGTTCAGCCAGAATACGAACTTCTTCAATATGCATGACTTCCCATTCCCATCTATTATTCTGGATCATACTGGGAAGATCAGGGAAGAGGCTGCTCATATAGAGGGCCATGAGAGCAGGTTGATTTGAGGGAGTTATTTTGGTAAAACCTGAGTGTCTCAGAAATAAAGCTTCTAATCTAGGTCTAAAACCTGCTGCAGATTCATCCTTTTTTTTGTTTGTTTACAAGACTGAATGAACAATAGTCCACTCGTTTTTGGTGAAAATACTTGGAGAAATCTTAAGAAATCTTGAGCTGTTTTACAAGCTCATCTAGCATCTCTGGCAGTAGCTTGGGCTTCTGATCTAAGTTCCTTCTCAGGTTTCATCCAGTCTGCCTCTCTAAACCATTTTCGGGCTTCTCCTGGACCCATCAGCATGTGTATTAATTGGTATAGGTCAGAGAGTCCCGGGTCATAAGCATTAATCAGGATTCTAAATTCCTCGGTAAATTTTTGAGGATCCTCTTTTGATTTAGGGAAGTCTTACTATGGCTCATAGGTCAGCCTTGGACCATGGTTTAAAAGTGGTTCGGGGAATAAATTTAGGAGCATCCTTATCTTTATTAGGATTTTCTACTGGCCTAGTTTTAAAAGGGAATTGAATGATAAGATCCTCAGAATGGAAAGGGAGCTCCAGCAGTGAGTTGAGAGTCTCAAGGTAGTTAGGAAGAGTGGGATAGAAAAGGGGGGGGGGGTGAAATCAGGGTTAGAGCATCTTTTCTGATTCCTTAGATTTCTGTTGTTTTTGTAATGAATCTTGAAGAGACATGATTTTTGTGGTATAATTAAAGAAAGTATCCCATTCTTTTTGTTTAGTTTTTGAGCCTCTATGCTCAGGGGTTTTTCATAAATATATAATCTTGTCTAGGTTATAACAGCCCCAAAATGGCCCCTATAATTCTAAATTATCTTTGGTTATTTCTTGCCAGTGTTTTAGGAATTAACAGCTGTTTGCACGCTATTTATTTATCATAAAAAAGGCAGGAGTCCCAGGAGGTGGGTCCCTGCTTTCTTTGGATTGAGAGGTACCCATTAATTTCCCTTGTTGAAATAATCTTTCCTAACTCAACCAGGCTTACTGTTTCTGAATGCCTGTGCACAGCTCCTGAGACCTGTGAGTCTCACTGAAAATCTGGAGTCTTTCACACCCCAATTTGTACTGTATGAAAAATCTGGAATCTTTTACACCCCAATTTTCCACCCAAAGGGATTAGGACAAACAAACTCGAAGAGCTCAGAAACAAAATAAGCGGAGCTCAATCCAAGAAAAGCTTACTGCAGATCCCAGAGAGTGGCTGAAGAGGCAGCAAACCAAAAGGGCTGTGGGTCCCTTCACCTGCATCTAGGAGCCGTCCCTGCAATCTTCAGCAGCTGTCTTCAGATCCCATCCTCATTGCCATCAGATGACAAAAATAATACAATTTAGTAACAAGTTTGATGTCCTTCATTCAGGGGAAAACAATCCATGGATTGGGGGAGTGCAGTGCCTCACAAGCAGTGGAGTGCTCTTCCTGAGGGCTTTTGGGCAAGAGTGAGTTTTATAGAACATTAGAAGCAGCAACTCAAAATAGGGCGTGATTGGCTAGGAGGTTGGGGATTTCCTGAGAAGTCTGTTTTCCAGGGTAAAGTGAGCTAGTAAAGCTGAATTGGAGGATTGTGAGTGGTTTATGTTAGGTTTCCTAGACAGTGAGGCATTTCCCGTTAAGTGCGGGCTGACTTGGGTTTGGTTTTGTGACGTGGGCCCGGCCACTGAGGCAGCCTTTGTTTTGTGGATCTTGATATGTGAGTTTCCTTTATCACACTGTAAAACGGAATTCCAGATTTCTAAATTACATAAAATAAAATGTAATAATATATTCCCTCTGTCTTTTCACATTCGTCTAACTAGCATTTGGAGAGCAGGTACTGGACGCTAGGCATCTGTTAAATGTTTGCTAGTGTTAATGATTCTGCAGACTTTTTTTTTTTGGAGAACATGTTTGTTTGGCAAATTCTTATCTGCCTCTGTGTACAACATACAGTTATGGCCCTGTGGTTATTTTCATCACAATATATTTCACCCTTTTTTATTTATGTAGTCATTTAAAAAATAAAAATAAAGAGAGGTGTTCCGGGCACTGAGATTGGAGCAGTGAACAAGAGACAGATAAGTTTCCTTTCTTCATAATCCTCATATTCTAGTGGATGAAGAGAGACAATCAATTAGAAATGGTAGAAATAAACAGGAGAAGTTCACAGTGATAAGGGCCATTATATAAATAAGCAGAGATGAGATTAAGAGATGAATCAGGTGAAGAGGAGGGCTTGTGCTAGAAAAGACTTGTCAGGGAAGACCTTTCTGAGGATGTTACCTTTGACCTATAACCTGAGTGATGGGTCAGCTGTTCACAGAACTCAGCATCTTGATGGGAAATCATACTACAAAGAACAGTCACCTTCCAGTACTGCTGCTTCAGGACCTCCTGGCGTTGGTTTTGGTCTTGTCTTCCTACTTACAGACTCTACACATTCCAATCTATATAGCACCCCAGATAAATCTGGAAAAAAAAAATAAACACAAACACACAGCTTACATTGTATTTCTACATTAAAACTCTCTCTCTCTCTTAATGGCTCACTAACCCTTAAAGGATAAAATCCACTTTTCTCAAATCAGCATTTATAACTGCTAAAATTTTACCCTTTCCATAAACAAATACATGGACAAAAAGAGAACAGATTAGTGGTTGCCAGAGGGGAAGGGGGTTGGGGAGTGGGCATAAGGGGTAAAGGGGCACTATGGTCACTGGCAAATAGTAATGTACAACTGAAATTTCACAATATTATAAACTATTATGACACCAAGAAAAAAAAAAAAACATTTTACCCTTCCCTATTTATGCCATTTTAGTTACTACTGTTCCCAAACATAAACCTTTTATTCCACTTACCTGCTCCAAAATAAATTGCTGTTTCTTGTCTCGAGTTTTTAGTGTTTTAGTTAGTTAGTTTTGTTTTCTTTTAAATTAACCCTTTTATCTGGAATACCCCTCCCCTATATCTCTTTCCAGTCTCATATCCTTGATTTGACCACCCAAACTAGGAGTGATCTCTCTTTCCATAGAACTACTTCAGCAGTTATCAGTTCTGTATAACCTACTATCTTGTAGTTGTCAGTACTATACATTGTTATCAGTTCTCTATATTGATCTCCTATATATTGACCTATAACCTATTGTCTCGTAGTATGGCTCATCTTTTCTATATTCGTTTATATCTTTCCAACTGAATTCTACATTCGTTGGGGGCAGGTGCCATATTCTATACTTCTTGAATCCTGTATTTCTTTTTATACGTATTATCTGCACAATGGAGTTCCTTTTTTTTTTAACAGGTGAAAGATTTTGAAATGTTTTAATTTCCTATCACTTAAAACTGCAATAAAGTTTTACAAATAATAATAATTGTTGCAGATTAACAAAATTCTGTTGGAGCTTCGTGTATAGGCCCTTGGATGATGACTATGTTCTACAAAAATATCAGGAAGGCCATGTGAGACTTATGTGTTACTTGTTTAATTTTCTTGAGATATTTTGCTTGAGGAATACATAAAGGAAAGAGTTGAGTAAAACTTACTTTTTACTTTACTTATAAAATGAAGAAAATAATAAAATTTTGCCAATTGATATTCCTTCTTTCATCTTGTGTTTGGTTGTAAAATGTATTTAATTAGAAGCTGGGAGCCTGTGTTACTAATATAAATGTTTTTAATAAGTTTTAATAGCAATTTTGACTTAGAAAATCATAAATAGAACAGTTCTGTGTTGGTCTGTGTTTTTTTATTGTTTAACGTTTTAATCTTCGTATTAAATAAAATTTCATTTCATTTTATTAATTTGATGTCATTCATTTATTTATTTTTTGTTTTCTTCTTTTCAAGGCCCTGTGGAATCCTACATGCACTGAAGGTTTATTTAAACCAGTACATATTTCAACCTAGGTTAGATCATTATTTGACCATAAGATATGTATCACGAATCTGTGAAATGTTAAATATTGAATAAAATGAATTTTCCATCATTCCATATTTTAGCTGTTTCTGAATATGTAATACAGAAATGTTTCCACTCCAAATATTTTATAGTTTTTGAATTTGTACACAGTTGCATAGAATATTGATAGATGAAGATTCAGCTAACATATTCCTACCTTATTCCTATTATAGTTTTAAAACAACAGTAGACTTTTATTTAAAAATGATCTCTATATGCAGCTATTCTAAAATGTAATATTCCACTTGGCAGTGCATATTTTTTGTTCAACCTTCTCATCCATATCATTTGTCTGTCTGGCTATAGTCTTCATTTAATTTAACCACATATTCTATGCATGTTAGTTAAGTCTAGTTTCTCCTATTCTAGTGGGATTCTATTTAGTTCCTACTGAAGAACTAAATTATCTTGAACTATTTTTCCGTTGAATTGAGATCAAAAGATAAAAGCAGTATGTGTTCAAATGAAATAAATAATGAAGAGTCTTATTCTAACTACAGAGAAGCAAAAACCTATTTATATCTCTAAACAAGTGAAGAAAGTTTATTGGATATTGACCTCATATTGAGGGAAGTTTCTTGAATGTGTCATAAAAGAAAGCCTGTCTCCTGGACTTGGCATCACTGATGTCTGTGTGTCCCTGTTTATTGCCCGTCTGTAATAGCTCACTTTAATTATCAAATGTCCAGGGAGCAAGAAGACACTCTTGAATGTTGTAGTTTACTGAAAGGAAAAGTGACAGAGCTCAGAGAGTGGCTCAGTGTTGTGGCGAAGGGTGCAGGGCACTAGAAGAGACATAGAGCTAAGGAGAAGAAAGCAGATTTTACTGAGTTCTCTGTAGTTTGCAGATAGGCAATGAAACAATCATGGTTAACCGTGGTAACATTCAGAAGTATGTTGTAAAATTTCTTAAATTATTTGAATCACTATGTAACATATCATGTCAATGATCAAATGCTGACTTTAAACCATAGTGTTAAAATAAAACTATAAATATATTTATTTACATGAAAACATTGTATGTGTCCTTGTTGACATTTCCAGTTAAAACACTCTTTTATGATCCAAGATACAAAAACTTTTGTTTCTCTAACAGTTTTATAGAGTTTATTCTTTTATCCTCTTCTATATCTATCTTTTTATTGTTTTATTTTATATTTAAAACCTTTAAATGTAGATAATGTAAGAAACCCCAACACCTACAATAAAGCACTCCCCTGGTAAAGATTTTTATCAACTTGAATGGTTGATATCATTTTAAAGAAAAGGAAAGAATTCAATTAAAGATATTTGACTAGGATACAAAGGAAAAAAACACACACGAAAACTTGTACTAGCAACTAGATTAAGTCAATGAAGAAAGGTACTTTTTTCATCAAAAGCAATGTAGCAGAAACTGTCAATATAGACAAGAAAATCCACCTACCTCAAAAGTTATAATTTCTTGATTTTTTTTTTAACACCAGTAAGACCTTTTAGTGCTGCTTCCTCGAAAATTTTATTTATTTATTTGATTGAGAACCTTGGACTGAATAGATATCAGTGAACATGTTTATAAGTTAATTTTACTTTCAGGGGGATATATTTTAAGACTTTCTCACAACGTTTATTATTTGACATTTAACTATTGATATATTTTGTATTTATTTGATTACATTAAAGTGAATTAAAAATAGGGATTAGGGGCTGGCCCAGTGGGGTAGCAGTTAAGTTCGTGTGCTCTGCTTCGGCGGCCCGGGGTTTGCAGGTTCGGATCCCAGGCGCAGACCAACGCACCACTTGTCAAGCCATGCTGTGCTGGCGTCCCATATAAAGTAGAGGAAGATGGGCACACATGTTAGCTCAAGGCCAATCTTCCTCAGCAAAAAGAGGAGGATTGGCAACGGATGTTAGCTCAAGGCTAATCTTCCTCACAAAAAATAAAGGGGGGGGGGATTAAAGGCGGTGTTGTTATTGTTTAGAAAAATGTGTAAGAACCCTTGTAATTACTGTACCATATTTGAGATGTAACAAAACTAAGGTTGATAATTGTTCCTAAAGGAGAGACAGGAGACATCACAGTATATCCGACAGTTGCAAATAGTGCAACATCAGTGTTTGTTGATGACAGGAAGCATTATGCTTTACTATTATGCCTGCATGTTTATCCAAAATACTCTGACAGTCACTAACTCAAAATAAGAGAGGGACAAACTTAATTATATTCATTTTGCTAATAAGGAAAGTGGAATTTGAAGAGGTTGAGTGACTTTCTCAAGTTTATGTAACTTCTAAGTGTCAAAGCCATAGATTGTGCTCAAGTGTTCCAGATTGGGATTTTGTTTTGTTTTTCTGATTTCAGAATGCTGATGCATTGCATGATTGTAAAAGTCAATAAAAATTATATGTGGATTACATATGCAAATATATAGATAATTGTATATTATATATATATATAATTAAAGATTGAATTTCTCTGAAATCTGCTTCATGGACTAGGGATAATTGTGATAATAAAGATTACTATGTGGGGGTTGGCCCGGTGGCGTAGCAGTTATGTTTACACATTCTGCTTCGGCGGCCCGGGGCTTGCTGGTTTGGATCCTGGACGCGGACCTACTCACCACTCATCGAGCTATGCTGAGGCGGTGTCCCACATAGAAGAGCTACAACTCTACAACTATGATATACAACTATGTACTGGGGCTTTGGGGAGAAAAAAGGAAAAGGAAGATTGGCAACAGATGTTAGCACAGGGCCAATCTTCCTCAGAAAAAAAAAAGATTGCTATGTGAATGCCCACCTTTCTAAGATGTATAATATATGAGCTAAGGAAATAATTTTATAATACTGAGAATTATTTATCCATATATAGAGAAGTACTAGGAAGGAAAACCGTGGAAACTTGTGCTAGATATTTCAACAATTATTAACACATATTTTATCTATATTTTAAATCATTCTGAAAATTTAATTTGTTGTGCCCCAAGATATATGCATGTTAAATGTTCTTATTTAGCATATTTTTAAATATAGGCAACTTATCATTCTCAGATTTATGACATATAGCTGTATTTTTTTTTTTTAATTTTTTGTTTATTGCAGTAACATTGGTTTATAACATTGCAAAAATTTCAGGTGTACATCATTGTACTTCTATTTCTGCATGGACTACATCATGTTCACCACCAAAATACTAATTACAACCCATCACCACACACATGTACCGAATTATCCCTTTCACCCTCCTCCCTCCCCCCTTCCCCTATATAGCTGTATTTTAAATGATTTTTTAAATGAAGATTCTAAAGTAAGTATGTGTTGTTATACACATATAATTTTGTTATAACGCATAAAAACTTCCTTGCTAAATTTTTAAAAATTGTGTCATTTTTCGTAATTATCTAAATTTTATATTTTAAATATTTGTTTATTTTGAAAAAAAAAATGTACTTCTATATTTAACTTGCTGCTAGAGGCAGGAATGTCCAAATTTAACAAAGGGATGCTTTTCATGTTGTTGTATTTGGTGTCTATTTGTCCTTACAAGATTCTCTACCTGTAGTTCTATCCTATCTTAACTTTTTATGTATAATCACTCTTTCTAAGAAAAATCTCTGTCTTGGTGCTTTTTTTGGTGACATTAATCACTATTATGATATGCGCTGGCACCTTGAACAAAATTGTAATACTAACTCATATATTTTCCAACATATGTCAGCTTCATTTGATATATGTGGTTGAAACAAGTCCACATGTCAATGATAGATTGATGTATATATTCTCCGTTGAAAAGAACTGTTATTCTGGATATTAATAATCATTAAGAACTGTTAGAATGTCCTATGCCTTCCAAGTAATGTCTGTTAGATATCTGAATTTGCATAATATGTTTATACCATTAATTATAATGAAGAAGAGTAGGCTAGGCTATAAAACGGGGAGAAAAGAAAGAGATGTAAGCATTTTTCTTATGTTTTACCCCAAACCAAACATCCTGAGTATATCTATTGGATATTCTCTTGCCTCTATTTTGTAAAAGGTTTTCTCCACTTTTCTATTTTCCTCTTTGAATGCTGTATATTGATGTACACATAGGAGGTTGATAAACAGGAGGCTCAAATGATAATAAAATATTTTCTGGTGACTGTTACTAATATCTGAAAGCTATTCATTGCATCCTTAATTTATAAACATCATGGTCAGATTATACACACACACACGTGTATGAAATGAGGAAAGCCTCATTTTAAAGTCATCTTTTTAAAAAAGGAACTTGATCGGGTGGAGGAAATTTGTAGGTAGCATGAGCATTCCTAGGGAAGAAAGGGGACGAGCTTCCTGACTCCTCGGAAGGGCAATGACAAATGAGTGCTAAGTGGATTCTGAGGGAGAAAGACACTTATTGCAGCAAGGGTAAAATGATTGTTGCCATACTTTCCTCAAAGATTTAGTTTAGTTTTTTTTTTTAATTTTCATTTTTTTTTTTTAATGTAAGACTCAAGAGATGAAGAAAGTGTTCCCTTGCCTGGTAAGGAAGAATAGACAGCAGCTTAAACTTTGATGAACAATCTGGAAGGCTTAGGTACTAATAAATTTTGAATATAATGATCCAGAAGAGTGAGTAAATATCATGCCTTCCTACTCAGCCTCTTCATAGAATTCTCTTCTTCATAAAGCTGGCAAGATTTCTCACCTGGAAAGAGATTTATGTGTACCTTTTTTCACTAAGAATAGCAGAGTATACTTGAAAGACAAAGTAACTTCACTAGGCAATAATGATGCTACACAGATTTTAATTTTCTTTACATCATGGTTTGTATATGTTTTAAGAAGCTACCATGTTAATGTAGATTTGGAGTTTAATTTGTTTTACTAGCACAATTTTTATACAATTTTACTTTATGATTTACTTTGTTGTATAAACTTTACAAACGTTGTATTAACTTTGTTTTTGGCGATCTCTATCATCTGACTGCCATTTGGTTGTAGCCACGTGAATTTTAAGAATAGGATCCTGAAAATTAAGGACTAGTCTTTTGAAAAT